TATATCTCTGTGTGTGTATATCTCTGTGTGTGTGTGTGTGTGTGTGTGTGTGTCTGTTTGTGTCTCTCTGTGTGTGTGTCTCTCTCTCTGTGTGTGTGTGTGTGTGTGTGTGTGTGTGTGTGTGTGTGTGTGTGTGTGTGTTGTGGTGTGTGTGTTGTGTGTATATCTCTGTGTGTGTTCTCTCTCTGTGTGTGTGTGTGTGTGTGTTGTGTGTGTGTGTGTGTGTGTGTGTGTGTGTGTGTGTGTTGTGGTGTGTGTGTGTGTGTTGTGTGTGTGTGTGTGTGTGTGTGTGTGTGTGTGTGTGTGTGTGAACAAGGTCAGACCAAAAATAAGACATTTTTAACATCCTTGAAGTTTATAACAATCCAAGTTTTCCCCATATGTATCCCCCTTGTTTTTTGGAGTATAATAATAGTTAATTAATTTAGTATTCTATTCCTCAAAAGGTATTTAACACTAATTATGACTTTTAGGGATATTTCCAAGGTACAAAAAGGTAAAATAAATGTCTAACTTCAGGTGTAGAATCTCTGAGAAATGAAATGGCCTGTTCTTTTCCAAAGAAGCTTTACATGTGGACAAAACCAAAACACATCTGCATGGTCTGCAGAAGTCAATCTTGATAAACCTTTTTTGTTTTAATAAAGCCATGACACACAATTAGATTTTTGAAGCTTAAATACGTCAATTAATCCATTTAATTGAGGTCCGATACGATTTGAATCCAAGTTTTTATATGTGCGAGGGTCTGGTTTCAGCTATCGAACGTGCATCCTATACACTTCAAAGGTTGTACATTTAAAAGGTATTACTTTTTCTGAAAATCACTTCTACCTGAAACGCTGTGAATCGCCTCACTGCCACCAGACAGATTTTTTTTTTAGCAGTGTAGTCATGTGTCCACTGTTTCCCCTCATCTCAGGAGACGTATCTGGTGAAACACATGGAGAAACACAACCCCGACCAGCTGAACGCAGAACAGGCGAGACAACAGAACCAGAACCAAAGCCAGGTGTCCGCTCAGAGCCGAGACGACGGAGCAGACGGAGGATCGAGCCGAGCAGACGGAGGACAGCAGGGACAGAGCAGCTACCAGACAGACGCCATGTCCTGTCCCTTTGACCTGCACCAGTATAAGACTGTGTCCGCCAGTGACATCCAGTACAAACCAGTCACCGTAGCGGACCTCACTTCCCACAAAGACCTCTGCCTCACTGTGTCGGCATCCACCATCCGAGTGGAGCACCTCAACTCTTAGAGGAGAGAGGTGAACGTGAAGATGGAGGATAAAAGCAATACTAAGACGAACTTTGGAACAAGACTGTGCCTGAACTTTTTGTTTGAGACAGACGGGACAAACCATATGGGTGAAAAGTATACTGAAGACTAATTTAGTTTTATTTTTGTATTAGTTTGTCTCTCTTGTTTTTCTCTCTGCCCTGTTTGGTCTGTTGTTTCTGTTGTTTATCTGTCTGACTGGAAGCTGCATGTTAAGGCTGCAATAAAGTATGTTTATCAGTCCATCACAGTGATGGCTTTATGATAGGGATGTGATTCTACTCATCCTTGTTTTTATCACCTCCTGCGCTTCATACACATACAGTTCTGGCCATAGCAATTTATGGTCTCTGTAGATGAAGCTGTTGGTTGACTGAGAAGGTAATTTTTTATACTTTCATACAGGGACTGACAGTTTTTACATCATTCTACTGTGTTTACTTTTTTTACCTGAAAAGGGACTAGAGGTTATTTCCTTTTCAGGAAAGAGAAATTATCAAGTATATATAGATATATATACTACCAGTTTATAAAGTATGGATTGTGTGGTTTAAAGGCTGTGGTAATCCATATAACCTATTTAGTCCCATTCGTAGCCGTCACATAACCTTTGAGGAAGTGATGAGCCGTTCATGTAATCCTTAATATGTACTTATTTGTGTGGTGTGTCCTAAAATTATTGTTATCCAAAATATGTTCTTGCTGTTACACTTCCCTGATAATAATGTTTATAATACTTCCTTTTAGATATACTGACACATCTGAATTTTGTCTCTTTTTTTCAGGCTTAAAAATTCAATAAACCCTCTGAAATGTTTCTCATTATTGACATTATTCCCTTATGTGCTCAAGTGTTTATATGCAAGGGTATTGATTTAGGGCCACTCCTAAAATAATGTAAATATTCTCTCAGTTAATTTGTCTTTCTTTTGGTCTAACCAACGTCAGAAAAGACTGAAACAATTTCATGCAGCTAAAGTTTTCCTTTTAGATTGCAATCCAAAAACGCAATAACATTTAAGAGGCTACAAAGATCTTCTGGATTAGACAAATTACTTGGATTTTAAATTGGATACTTTTTTGTAGATTGAGTAGGCTAACTATTGAATTGACAAATTGTTCAGATTTATTTTCATTGTTTTTGTCAATAAACTATTGCCATGATATAGGAAACATTTAAAACCTGATAAACAGAGGCAAACACTATGCTTCATGTGTTATGCATACAAGTATTAATAGATGCTACTGTGAGTGTGCATCCAAGTATATTGTTCTAAGCATTTCTGCTCCTATGGAATGTGTGAGGTGTTTACAAAAGTGGACTGTACCATTACATAGCAGGGTGGTTTAATGTCAGCTAAGGCACCACACACGTAGTACCTGTGTGTAATGATACACGGAATGAACCTATATACTTGGCGTTAAGTTAAATCTATATAGTACAATCAAAATAAATAGCAAATGATCAAAACTCGGGTAGTTTTGAAACGCTGAAATGTGGTCTCGTCCAAAATCCTCTGCGGTCTGCAGTGGATATGGCGTCACTGAAAAGTGTAGGAGTCGAGAAACTTCATCCATGTAAATAACGTCAAGAAGAAAGCTGTGTGACACGCTGTAGATAGCAATTCGCAGTACATAGCCTTATTTATTTACCAGCTTACTTTATAAATATGCCCCGGAAAAAGCCATTTAGCACCAAACAGAAGAAGAAACAGCTACAAGGCAAACGGGAGAGAAAGAGAGGTATGTGCCGTTAGCATAGCAATGCTAGCGTTAGCTGCTACCTAACGGTTCTGACTCCACAGATAATTGTGATTAAGCAGCAAAATGTGTGTCTGTGTGTCTTTGTTGGGTTGAGTATTTTCAATTAGAGCCTTAAACTATCATTTAGCCTAGATAACAAATATGTCTTCTGTAGGCTAATGCTAGCCGCAATAACAAGCAATGTGACATTAGTAACTTACCTTGACCAGTGTAAGTAGTATTGTAAAAGAGGTGTCAAAATGTGTCAATCATTACATTCTATGACCTCATTAACCCAATATGACTACATTGGTAAAGGTCATGTGGTAGTGTAGAGAGCCATTTCAAAACAGCCCTTTACAGTAACCGCATGTTGGCTCATATATTCCCATGTGCTTTATATATTCAAGAAAAGGACATCATTTGTGACTGTCAAAGCTGTGGAATTTCTGACCTTTTTTTGAAACATGAAACAATATTATAGCAAACACACACTTTGAAAATGTCTGGTTTTCCTGAGTTTGCATATTCCAACACTTGTGAGGAAGATATTAATACATTTAAAATCAATTGCAATGAAACCAAATATTTCCATTGATGACAGAGGATTTTATAAAAGCAGTTTTGGCTTTTGAATCAAGGAAGAAAAGCGTGAATTAATTGTCACAGGGCATCCATGACAGCTAGCATGAGTGTCAACATTAGATATAGTTGGTATTGGATTTATGTCTGAGTTTAACTGTGGTCCCTGATCTTTGACTTCCAGGTGACACAGGTTCAGGGCCGAGCAGCCGCAATGCCAGTCTGGAGCGAGGAGAGCGACAGTCAGACACCTCGGACAGCGAAACCACTGATGTGAGGAAAATAAATCAGCAGCCTTTCGCCAGGGAAGGCAGATATGACCCCAACAGGTGAGTTGTAGCGACAGTATCCATACTAACAATCCCTTTAACTTTCATAGAAGAATGATATTCTTTAGGTTTAAGATCCTGCTGGGATTAATACACATAGGCGTCTTGTTTTTCTTCATAGCTGCTAGTACCTAAAATGCATCGGTGCGAACAGCAGTAGGATGTTTTAATTGGTAACTAAGTGATCGCATAATTACTTGGAGCTATATATCAAAGATTGCATGAGGTATATTAAACATATTTTAGGTACTTTATTTGATTTATTTGATTGATCTTATATTTGTTTCCTGTGTTCATGTACAATTGAGAGGTCTTTTAATGTATGTCCAGAAATTAGGACTGTGACAGTGTTAAGTCTACAGTGACAACATTAGATAAACAGACACAACAAGATCACAACATACTATATAATATGATAAAACACATTTGCTCAAATTGAGCAACGAATAAGTAAAATAGCTAAGAGACCTGTTCTGATTAAGCTGCCACTTGTACAGTCTGATGGCTCGAGGAATATAGGATGTCAGTTTCTTCAACTAACTGAGACATCTTTTTCTCAAGTTTGTGTGATTTAAAATGTAGATATACCCAGGCGTGCACATAACTTTCTCAGTGAGGTACTCAGATGAGTACCTGGAGTCAGTGGTTGGTACTTCTGGCTCCACTCAAAGTATCGCGAACGTAGACGGAGATGGGGGGGGGTAGGGGGAGCTAGTGCTGGTGTACTCCGTCACCACAGAGCGTGAACGTTGTGATCAGCTGTTTTTGCGCAGTTCTCCAGTGAAGGGGGGGGGGAGTCTCCCTCCGCAACCGGTTGGCGTAGTTTTGGCACAATTTCGTTGTACAGACCGACGTTAAGAGCAGCCCCGTCTGTGCACACGCCACACGGAGACCAACTCTGTCGTCCGGTGATCTAACCGCCTTCTGGAAAAGCTCCACAAGTACGTCGTCGTTACGCAAATGCGCTTTGTGACACAAGTGGCGATACGCATTTCAGATTTTTGCCGCGCATGCGTACCTGCGTACCAATTATGTGCACCCCTGGATATATCAGCCCAATGATGTTAGGCAAACCTTTTGACGCCCTCATCCTCTCTCCAGGTTCCGACTGCACTTTGAGAAAGAGAGTAAAGAAGAAGTGGAAAAGAGGAAAAAGGTGGCCAGGGAGAAGGTGCTGAAGCCACTCTCAGGGAAGGAGGATGAGATCAGCATCGACGACGTCTTCCCTCCAGAGAAAGGTCTGACTTGTTTTGTTTTTTTATGCTTTTCACATGACAGTCTCAAAATAACTCAGACGGATAAGCAGAGTAGGTTAATGGAGTGGGTCACTGCTGCTTGACACGATGAAATTAAATGATTCACTACCAGGTCTTGGTTTCCCACGACGACCGCCCTGGAGTTATGAGATGACACGAGAGAACCTGCTGAAGAGAGAGGAGAAGTCGTACCGAGAGCACCTGGATGACCTGCACTCCAGAAACCCCGAGGGCTCTCTCAGCCACTTTGAGCACAACCTGGAGGTAAGTTACACACAACACAAACATTTCCCAAATTGGGATCAATAAAGTACTTCTTATCTCATCTTATCTTACCTTACTGACACACTGTTGAAGGCCTTTGTCCATCAAAGTGCCAGAAACTCATTTTCTGTTCTTTATTAGTGTATCTACAGTTTGTTTTGAGCGGTCTCATGCGGAAGTACAGCACCACGTACAGGCCCGGCATATGTACTACAGCAGGGGTTCCCAAACGTTGCCATGCCAAGGACCCCCATATAGCATTATCCTCTGGCGGGGACCCCCCTGTTGCAATTTTTGTTTTGTTTAAAGGATGTGTACAAGTGCCTCGCGATGGAGCATGCAGTGCGTTGCCACTACATTTGGGGCCTTCTGCCTGATCGAAGCTGTCACTCCGCTTTCTTTGCCTGTCATAGCCCCACTGCCCCATCTGGACACACACCCACACAACGAGACCAGTCAAGTCCATTTGAGATGATGTGAAAATGTCTCTTCATGTGGTCCTACCTTCCAGTGCTTTGCAAAATAATATTTCCTCAACAAAGTTATCTTCTGAAATAAATCTGATGTATGCGAACAATTCTGCAACATTTGCTACATCCGTGCTCTCGTCCAGCTGCAGAGCGAAACATTCACTAGCTCTCACTTGCTCCAAAAGCTGAGCAGATGTTCAGTTTCACTCTCAGTAGCGGCATCTCGATTCTGATTGGCTTGAAGGGCAGTCGTGTGATTCAAAAACAAAAAATATGAAAAGATTGGCATCAAAGGACACATAGATTGATAGATATACAGTTATTAATAACATCTAAAAAAAAAAAATTTTTAAATTGAACTTTCAAAATAAAAATAAATCCTGTTTCCCTCAAACTTTGCGTGACCCCTCTGGCGCCCCCACTTTGAAAAACACTCTACTACAGCGTCTCCAGTGGTCTCGTGTGAACGGAAGACTTTTTGATAACGAATTCGGTCCGTTTGCGCTCCCGTGTAAATGGGGTCTAAAGCAAAATAAAAATTATTATTATTGTGCGGGCAAGCCTCAAAATTACAACCATAAACAATATAATAACAGACACTAGAATAAATTAAATGTAAGGCCCTAGTTCTCATGTCATCCAAACGGTCAAAATTCACTCCATTCTTTGTATTAAATCACTCAGCAGGTCAGAGCTCCCTGATTTTCTATCTAGATCTAGGTTTTGAAAGCTCTGACTGTTTCTGTTTTCTGTGAGATCTAAGTTATGTCTGAATCCTGTTAAAAGCCATTCAAACTTAAATGAATGTGTTTTAATTTGAACTGCTCATTACCCAGCACACTCGCTTTTCCAATTTCATCATAATAGACATAATTGTTGAAGCTGTTCTCCAGCTTTTAACTGCAGGACGTACCATACATTTAATATGTCATTGTTCTAAAGTGGGATCATGTGGGGATCTGTAGGAAGTGTGTTACATGCCTGTTAATTCCCTTGTATTCCCCGAGGAGACCCATTGTACCTTGACTGGTGTGATATATCTCAGTTTTGCTCAGGCTGTGAGTTAAAAACCCTGCCGATCATTTTAATTTCAGAGCGTGGGCTGAGCTCAGGAGGCAGAAGCTTGAGCAGCTGGTGGTGTAATAAGTGACTCTCAGTAATCTAGAGGTGATGGATTTTTAAGTGGAGCTGAGGAATGAAATTGTGTTTCATTGGATATCATTTTTATACTTCTAAAAGGGAGCAGTACATTACAACAAAGTATTTATAAGAAAATCCTAATATACCTCCTTCCTAATAAGCCATCATGCTAAATAGGAACATACATGTGATAATAATATCAAACCTCCTGTTACATCCCACTTCTATTCTCTATCTTTCAGACATGGAGGCAGTTGTGGCGAGTGTTGGAGATGTCAGACGTCATCCTGCTAATCGTGGACATCAGGCACCCGGTAGGTGATCTCTCAAACAACAGCCTGTAGGAAATAATCTAACCAAATCAAATCAAGTTTTATTTATATAGCACATTTATAAACGATTTTTGGTCGAGCAAAAGTGCTGTACATATAATAAAAATAGCCTACAGTAGAGACACTTTACAGCAAATACAACAGCACAGATTGTTCAGAATATCAGTATGAGAAAAACGACACCCTCTATCCTTTGACCCTCTGTCCTTAGACCCTCTGTCCTTAGACCCTCACATCGTACAAGGAAACACTTCCAGAGAAAACCCACAGTTTAAAGGGAACATGGGAGAAACCTCAGGGAGAGCAACAGAGGAGGGATCCCTCTCCCAGGACGGACAGACGTGCAATAGATGCCGTGTGCAAATCGAAGAGATAATACATTTTACAGCATATAGACCAAATGTTTGGAAATGCATGTGTCTGTAATAAGAAGATGAATCCACGAGGATGTCAACAATCCTGTGGGAGCCATCAGGGAGGCAGCATGACGAGGAGACATCTGTCTCCACACTAGATGGAGACACAGTCAACATCCATCTGAAGATCTGACGTGGTGTTCATTATGTTTTACCACATCATTCTAATTATTCTTTCAAATCACAAGATGTTTTTATTTGTATACATGTATATTGCTGTATTCAGGAAAGTGTCAAACAACAACAAATTAATATTGCAAGATGAAAACATTTAATGAGAGTTCTAAATGAACATAGATAAAGATTAGGACGCAATGAAAATGATTTTACTATCCCATCTGATACTTCTAATTCACAAACACTAATAATAATACTAGGTCTACTATTGTCTTTACTTAAACTCAGGTTTCTGGGCCCTATTGATTGATTGATGACTAATTCAATAGTCCTGTTTAGTATTCGGATCAATTTGACCCTGAGATCAGCATTTCAGTTAATCAATGTCTTCCAATTTTTCACATTGACCAATTTATTTCCGTATTCGTCAAATCTTAATATTACAATTTTACAATAGTTTTGTAAAAGAAATGGGGGGAAGAAGTTGCATTTAAGGTACTTTTATTTTTTAAATTAAATTCTTGATTATCAGACATCTGCTGCCGACAAACGTATACTTTCAAATCACATATAGTTAGATTCAAAGGTTTTATTGTCATATGCACAAAGTGTAGAAATGGCAATGAAATTCTTCTGACCTGAGCTCCTCCAACAATGCAGCATGTATACTAAAATACAAAATCTCGCATTTTGCAGACAAAGTTAAAAGCACACAACGAAACAAGTAAACAAACACTGAAATATAGCGATAAAAAGGCAGAGCTGGAGAGGGGCAAAAGACACGGCAGCCGTCATCCAGTATTAATGTAAAGTTAAAAACAGCACAACTCGTCTACTCCCTTTTTAATAAGGATAAGATCTAGTCCTTTTCTCGTTGACTAGGCCATAATTACTTTTCTAATCATGGGTATCCTTACTTCAACCATCCAGGTGCTGCAGTTCCCTCCGTCCCTGTACAACTACATCACAGGAGAGCTGGGGAAGCAGGTGATCCTGGTGCTGAACAAAGCCGACCTGTGTCCTCCCCCGCTGGTCATCGCCTGGAAACACTACATGACCTCCCAGTTCCCCCACCTGCAGATCGTCTGCTTCACCTCCCACCCAGGAGAGGCCTACAGCACAGGTGAGGAGAGAGGGAGGAGATAAGATAAGACTTCATTTTGTTTGGTATGTGTTCCGTTCATGGTATGCACAACTTAATGTATAACAATTGTTTACAAAACATGTCTACCTGCCCCTTTCTAAAAAAACTAAATAAATAGAAATAGATGGTCTGTCCTTCATATTTTCTTATTCACAGCCAAACATAACGGTATCTTAGGAAAATAAGAGAAACACAAAAACTTACTACAAAAAATACTTAGTTCCCACTTGACTGTTAACGGAAATAAACAAAACAACACCAAAACATCACATGTACAAGCAAAAGTGCAACGAGATAAGATAGTACTCCCAATTTGGGAAATGTTTGTGTGGCAGCAGCATAAAAGACATGGCATTGTACAATACAAATTAAAAAGACTAGAAAAACAAAATATAAAGCAAGTTATTATATATATATATATATATATATATATATACACACACATGCATACATACATGGCTGTGGGAAGTAGGGGTGCTGAGGGTGCTGCAGCACCCCCTGATGGAGGACAGGGAATCTGCACGTCCACCAGATTAATTGGAAATATAATACACAAAACCGAATTTTCAGCCTTGATGTAACAACATTCATAATTAAGTAAATGTAACGCCCTTTTCACCCCGGTTACATTTTCAATTTGCCCTGTTGCCGCTGTAAGTGGTGAAAGTGGGGGATGTTGGCTTATCAGGCGCCCGCAGCTGAGAGAAATAATGTGGAGGAGAGCCCTCTCCTGTCAGACTGAGAGGCTCAGTGAGGTAAAGGACACTGACGGTTCAGGTAGTTCACTTTATTCTAAGTTATCTCAGTGGGTCTCAAACGGTCACAAAAAAAATCACAATTTATGTAAACAAATATTTCCAAGGCACACCTTTATAATTATTAGGATAAATAACAACAAGTTTGAAATCATTCCAATGTATGCTATAGGACAGTAAACCAAAAATATCGTTTTATCTTAGAGATTAAAAAATATGCATAAATGTTAAAGGTGGGGTAGGTAATTTAGGAGAAACCAGCTCGAGTGCGCTAGAATTTGAAAATACACAGCCGGAACAAATCTGCCACTTCCTCACAGAGCCCCTCCTCCAACACACACGAACGCGCACATGACCAATGAGGGCACGAGATAAGTTTGTGCACAGATGGAAGGCTGACAGGCAGGTAGGCCATCCAGTTACTTTAGCCGGGCCGGCTCAGATGATTGGTCGAGCTTTTTACAGCGCCACGGCTTCCAGAGATGACATTTTTATGGATTTTTTGTCAAAGCACTTCAGATATTCATTGCTATCGGGATGTTAAGAGCATTCCATGGAATATAACAAAAAGTGTATCTCGAGCCGGTTTCTCAAACTTACCTCCCCCACCTTTTAACTGGTAAAATAAGATAACCGATCTTTTTCATATGGGTGTTTTTAAAGTTGTACCCCCTTAGATCAGGTCTCTAGTCATTCTGCTCAAAGTGCACCAGATTGAAGCATTTTACTTTTAAAATGTTACAACATATCTTTCCGGGGGGGCATACCCACAGACCCCCCTAGAGGAGTTGACGTCCACCCCCCAATTAAAACACGTTCATACACTACTGAACGCATTTGAAGCCTTTTTATATAAGCTGTCCACCATGTCAATACGTTTCTCTGTTTGTAGTGTATTGGTCTTTTGTAGAGGTTTTTCATTGCCAGCTCAAATCTTGCCTAGGGCAGCAAATGGTTCTGAACCGGCCCTGGTGTCATCCCCACAGCACCCCCCATTTGAAACATGTTGCCACGGCTATGTATACATAAGTATGTGAGGGATGGAATATTAAATATGAAACTTGTTAGGGAAATAATTGTCCTAGACTCCTAGATATGACGTGCATGACCAACCCTGACGTCTGTTATCTCCTTTAAGGACATAGGCTGCATCAGCCATAATGTTGTTGTTCCCATTCTGTGACCGGGCAACCCTAGGTCACAGATGGTTTATTGTTGTGGGTGCACTGGGACACTTCCTTCTTTGTTGTTTGTGGACTCCAAGGTATGAAATCTTCGAGGCCATAAGTGTCAGACGCAAGTAACTCAGTGTTCCCAACTGTTTAGGCTATCTTATCAAAATATGTTGATTACTCTCTGAGAAACCAGTTAAATGGGCTAACGAGAGAGAGGCGCTCCAAAATTGACGTGGCAACTCTACCGTGCAGTCAGATCGTGGCTGCTGTGACTTGTGATGTGAATTCTCCGGCCGAAGCTCCAAATAAACCATCGGTGTTTGACATCAAAGCTCCTGCTCTTCCCGTGTCTCTTTCCTGAGTCGGTGACTCCCACTGCATTGCTACACAGAAGTTTCCCTCACAAAACTGAATATATAAATGTACAGTGAGATGTTAAGTCCAAGAGAAGCTATGAAGGAGGGAGGAGGGGGAGAACATGGCGGGATAGAAAGAGGACTGAGTGACACACATGAAAAGATAACATCAGCGAGCTTTGTCATTTAAATAAACCTGCCACTCAGGGACTTTTAATTTGAGTGTAATACCACCAGAATAACCCGACTGGCTCTGGTTGCGATTAAAATAACAGTCTGTCTGCCTGTCTGTCTGCTGATCTGTAGTGCTCCAGAAGAAGCGGATGAGGAAGAAGGCTGACTGGAGTCACGCTGGAGGACCTTTAGATATCCTGAAGGCCTGCCAGGAGATCACAGCGGGGAAAGGTGGGTGTCTGTCCTGCATAAAAGGGATAGTTCCTTACTTGTTTGTTTTGAAATATATGTATGAGGTACTTATTCATTATTCATCGTTGTGTGTTTGGTAGCCCTCCACACACACATACAGTACATTAACCCCTCCTAGTACTATGAGCCACTGCTCATAGTACTAGGAGGGGTTAATGTACTGTATGTGTGTGTGGCAGCTACTTTACAGCGTGCAAAATATACTTCTAACTATTTACTACTGCTATAAATGTGACCCGCTCCATCGAAATCGGTCGGAAGTCGCAACGGCTCATTTCAAAATAAACGTGGATTTACATAAAAAACTATTTTTCCGGGGTTCGGGTGTTTTGTTTGATTTTAAACAAACAAAGTCTTGGCTTTCAGAATATAAAACTTTTATTTCCAAAATCACACGATAAATACATTTTTGAAGCTTGTAAAGGGACTCGCAATCTGCTCTTCCGCAGCGCCTCCCTCCCTCCCTCCCTCCCTCCGGCTGACATTATGAATCTAAGAGTATAGTAATCATAGATTATTGGCTTTCAGAATATTAAACTTGTTTCGGCAAATTCAGATGATAAATACAACTTTGAAGCTTGTAACGGCATAATTACAAGCGGAGAACGGAGTAACTTCACGTCACTGCAGGCATAACAACAGCCGGTGTTTCTCCTGAGTGTTTTCCCCGGGAAACAAACACAATACTCACAAACGCAAAATTACACAAACACACACACGTATACACACACACGTATACACACACACTCGCGAGCTTCCCCTCCAAACGAAAATATCTTCCCTCCGTAGTATTTTGATCATTTATTAGCCGCTAATAATCAATCAGATCGATGGATTCCAGAGAAGAGAAAACTTTGAAGGCCTTTTTCTCAAAATGATGACTCGGTGATAGTCATTATATAATGTGACATATTTCGCTTAATATTTGGAGTACAAAAACAATCCTGATATCATTAGAAAGCTAGGAATCTCCTCTTTCCAACAGGGTATACAACTCAAAATGTGTCTTCGGGTCAATGCGACTGTAATGCAATGGCTGTTACTTTATGACTTTTTAATATGTTCACTTACTAGGCTGCTACCTATCTTCACCCATGTCTAATTATTAGATTTGTATTTAATTAACGTGTGCTTGCCTCTGTATTTAACATGCTAATCTCTTTCAGTTTGTCTTATTTAATAATAATAATAGATTAAATTTGTATAGCGCCTTTCAAGGGACCCAAGGCCGCTTTACATGCTGAACAAACAAACAAAAAGGGCAAATAATAAAGTAAAAAATGTAATAAATAGCAGTAGGAGTGGAAGCAGGGGGACTGTGATGGGTTAGGGGTCAAAGGCCATGGTGAACAGGTGAGTTTTTAATGATGACTTTGCACTGTCCCCGCTGTGGGACATTATACATTTCCCCTCTGTGGGACAAATAAACGGTTTCAGATGTTCCATAGTATTACCTACATTACAGAACATGGCAGCAAAGAGGTGTATGGGCACTGGAACAGGGGCAGCAGCATCATTTATTTTAGCTACATAAAAAAAATCAATACCAGTTTAAGCGAACGCTATATTTAGAATATTTTCAGCACTTTATCTTGCAGTCAGACCGCCCTTTACGACGAGGAACAGAAGCGGTTAGCTGTGCCCTCTTCAAAGGCTCTGAGTCTGGCTTTAAAGAGAGCACAGATAACGGCTTCAGTTCCTGTCAGAGAAGGTCTGACTGCAAGGTGAATATATTCTAAATATAGCGAACACATTAGGGTGGTCCTTCGTGAGAGGTACATTTTTTAATTCATTTATTTTAAGCTCCAACCGGAATTCGTTATTCTAGTCAAGAAAACTCTCCTGGTGAATTTTATTCAAATTCCAACAACATTTACCCCTCCCTCATCAACCTTGAAGTTTAGCCTCACGTAGGGTGGTCCTTAAAATTGAAAGTCGGAAAGTTTAATGGCGCATTTCCACTGCAGGGCCGCGCACGGCTTAGTACGGTATAGTTAGGCCTTGGTAGGGCAGGCTCACTTTATGCTGCGTTTCCATTACAGTTTAGGAACTGGGGTAGTAACTATAGTAACGCAGTTTAGGCGGAGCCGTGGCGTCATCTTCAATAGAGTGGCGAAGTCCCTCCCCTTCCGGTGGACCTCCATAGGACCTTATTTCGGAAAAATTATGTATTAAAGTCAATGGAGAGAGAAAGATTATCTTTCGATCCCGTTTGAATTGTGCCACGAATTACACATATGATGTTTGTCAATTTAAAAGATCATTTTGCAAGTCAAAAAAAAAAATGTGTCGTAAAACTGTGAAGTAACACATTTGTTTGTGTGAAACGCTCAATGAACTACATCTCCGGTCTAGCAGAACAACACACGTCACCAAGATGGCCGTCACTACTGTCTTGTCAACAAAAGGATTGACTACCCTCACCATCACCACAATGAAACACGTCCAGAAGAATGTCATGCAGAGCTACCTGCCTGCCTTCCTTTGATTCTCTCTGAACTGCCTGGTCCTTTTAATGTTTAATGTCAACCATTTGTGCAGATAGCATGAAGTAGAAAAGATCGGCGATCGATTTAATGTCATTAAATAATTGTGATAAAATGGTGATCGAATGATCACACCGGTGATGACAGTACTCTTCAAAGAGTTCACGAAATATGACTACTACTCTTACTGTTTAACATCTTGGGTTACTTAATGTTACTTCATGTTAAGGCTAATAAAAATGACAAGGCTGTAATGCTAACTAACGTGCTAGCTACTAGCTAGGTAGCTAACTTGATCCAGCCACTCCTGGTCCTTTCATCAGACGGGAAGCGAAAGAGCGAGCAAGACCCATTGCTGGTATGATAACAACCTGGTACTAAGCACACAGGCATCTTGTTAAAGTGATCTTATCTTAGCCAGCGCCATATAGATAGATTCTATCTATATGGCGCTGATCTTAGCTATCTCTTAGTGGAGGAAAACAATTGTGACATCACTTACGCGACTCTGGGATTTGTAGTCTTTCTAGTTGCGTATTTTTCATAGTCTTATAATTCAACAGTTTTACGACAAACTGTGACTTTTTTGACATGGAAATTATTTTTGAAGATCATATGTGTAATTCATGGCACAATTCAAACGGGATCGAAAGATACGTTTTCTCTCTCCATTGACTTCAATACATTATTTTTCCGAAATAAGGTCCCATGAACCGGAAGTAGATGGGCGTGACTTCGCCACAAAACCAACATCAGCCGTTAGCTGTTCGCCCTCAGAGCTCACAGCTCCTCATATCTGTTCAGAAACTGGACAAAAGTTAAACAAGTCCAAACCACAGACTGTCTGTGTCATGGCGAATACAGTCGCTGGTTTATTTATGTCTGTAGGCCGTTGTTGTGAGTGTGGACGGTCGGAGCATATACTGCGTTAGCTTAGCCAAGCTCCATTCAGAAAACACGTATTTTAAAAGGTTTTTCGCCTGCCGTCTGTCTGCAGACTTGTTAAAGCATTAATTCATGGTTTTTACTAACCGGTATCAGTATGTTGTTACTTCGGCATCATTTTGAAATGTGTATTACAATTAAATCACGGTCAAATATGTTCATTTTGTTGTAGTTAGTTGCCAGCGATTCTCTCACTAGTTTAGCATACTCAGCCCGGTTGTTGACCCGGAAAGAACCTGGATTTTGGAGAGCCAGAAAAACTGTGAAAAAATACCTGTTAACCGGAACTACCCCGAGTGGAAACGCAACAAAACGGGCCGGGTTTGGCAAGGCACGCTTAAACCGTGCTACGTGCTGCAGTAGAAATGCGCCATAAGCTCCAACCCCCAGAATTAATTCTATTAGTCAAGAAAACTCTTCTGGGTGTTGGAGCTTTGACTTTCCGACTTTCAATTTGAATGACCACCCTAGAACACATGCACCAGTATTGTTCTTTTAAGGTGGCTGAAATATGTGTTGATGCTGCCCCTGTCCACAGAAATACATTGATTTTCTTTAGTGCTGATTATTTGTTTTTTTTAGCTGGGGTCATGAACATGTACCAAAGTAAAAAAAAAAAAAAATCCAAACTTCTATTCAATTCAAAGATGTTATTGTCATATGCACATTAGCTACAGTGTAGAAATGGCAATGAAATTATTCTGACCTGAGCTCCTCCAACAATGCAACATATATATAATAAAATACAAACATTAAAAAATAGTGCAAGAAGTCTATATACATGTCAATAGAATATGATATGTCCAAGAACAGAATATGACATTTAAATAATGTACATTAAGACACAATTAAATACGGTTTATTCCGGTGATATCTATTTATGTAAATCTTCTAATCTTGTATACTCAAAAAAAAAAGTCATGACTAAGACGTATGTCATTTGTCCACTCTGGTTTCAAGGTTCAAGGCTTTTATTGTCATGTGTGCATAGCTACAGTGTAATTATGACAGTGAAATTCTTAGGTCACAGGCTCCTCCAACAGTGCAACACAATAAAACAGATAAAATAGTACAGGTAAATCAAATAAAATAGAATATAATAGAAACAGTGCAGAATAGTCTATATCAGCGGTTGTCAAAGTGTGAGGCGTGCCTCCCTGGGGGGGCGCCAGAGAGCTTCAGGGGAGGCGCAGCGTGAGATGAGTAAAGTGTCACTTGCACACTTTTGGCGACCGAGTTCCCCCACCTCACCAAAAAGGCTGTAAAAGTGCTCATTCCCCCCCCCCGAGATTCCAGGGCTGATTTTTACTCCCAATCCACCCCTGCCTCTCCACCTACCTGTGTGAGTGCGGGTTTTCCGCATTGACTTTGATCAAAAGCAAGTAGCGGTCAAGGCTGCAGCCAGAGGATGATCTGCGTTTATTCCGGTCTACATTGCATCCCCGCATCATCCGCCTGTGCGCATCAAAGACGCAGACTCATTGTTCCCACTAAAGTAGGGGTGAGTGTAAGAAGGAGGCAAAGTTCAGTGTGTTGCCGGGAGCATATAAGGATTTATCCACGATATTGAAAATGTTTAAAACATAAAGATAAAAAGGTTTTAAAAAGTTATTATTTAATGTTCTAAGGAGGTGACGCTACTCAGCCAATGAAATCGGTGCAGTCAGTACGATAGATTCAAACACACACACAGAGACAAGACAAGAAGAGAGAAACAGTCGGAGTCATTTCAAATGGCGTGCTCAAAAAAGAGAAAGGTAGACAGCGAAAATAGAGCATTTAATGACATTTTCTCTCACTGGACCTCTTTGAAATGCAATGGAATGCCCCTGCATTATAGCAACAAAAATAATAATAATGGCATGGGGGGGGGGGGGGCGGGCGTGGGTGTTCTTATGTTCTCTGGGGGGAAGGCTCACCTTCCCACACTTTGAAAACCCCTGGTCTATATACAGTAATTGGAATATTGGTGTATATATATGTTTGTCTACCCTCCCTCATACTGTAAAGCGTCTTTGAGTTGTGAAAAGCGCTATATAAATAAAATGCATTATTATTATTATTATTATTATTATATAAGTTGCAAACGGATGTTATGGATGTTCTTCCAAAAGTTCAGGTGTTTAACAGTCTTATGGCCAGTGGGATGAAACTGTCCCTCACTCTGAACTTGACTCATTGCATATTTACATTTGTGTTGACCTTTGACCTCTTGTTTTCAAAGTTGACCTCTCCAGCTGGGAGCAGAAGATCAGGCGAGATGCCGGCGCCGAGCAGATGGACGGAGAGCGGCTCGATGACGGATTAGAGACGGTGCTGGTGGAGCATCAAACTGACATCGCCATGGAGATGAACAGCCCGTCACAGGAGCTGTACAAAGACGGCGTTCTCACAATAGGCTGCATAGGTACGCATCGAGTTGTCACTGAAAAGTATAACTATGCAGACAGATCCAATCAGAGTTTCTTGGTGTCAAAAGATAGGGCCATGCAACGTGACATCCTATTGGAGAAACTCCTAGTGTGTGTATTGTATCTTTGTATTTTTACCACTTTATTTTCTTATTATTTCACCGAGAGACACTTCCTCCCTCACCGCGTTCAAAAAATCACTCAAAACCCACATTATTTGTGGATAGGTCTTTTGCATTGCCTAATTCCCATGCTTCTGTAACAAAACCATTTCCTTATGTGGGATTTATAAAGTATATCTAATCTAACATTTTAAACTAGATTAGAAACGAAAAGCCGTTTCCAAGAAAGTTCTCAACTTGCATTTTTTTTTTTTTAGAGTTGTTGTTTTTCTTACCTTGTTAAACAAAACAAAACATCGTGTGTTAGAGCCAGTATTTTTGTTTTATAAGAAAGGCCACCTAATTGTGCCGTCTGTAGTCAACACACTATAAAAGACTACAATTCCCACGGCGCCTGCTCTAAAGTGACAGATGGGCGACCTGCTAGAAAGACGCCGTTGAGACACAGTTTTTAACAGTCCAATTACCCTTTAAGTTATTACGTTATATAAGCCTTATCAAGAAAGAAAGCATACCTAAGTTGTTTGTTATTTTATTTGAGTTTTGAACAAACACATCATCTAACCATCGGAGGCCAAGCAACTCTTCAACTGTAAGTAATGTAAAGGAAAGAAAACGAGTTAGAAATGTCTGTTTAAGGCGTCTGGTGGCTTGAAAGAAAAGCAAGCAAGGAAGGAAGCCACGACACAGTTCTCTTCAATCCACCGCACAACTCAAGGCTAGCATCAGCAAACCAAAGTAAGGAAGTCCTTTCTAGATTATAAATCTTAAACCCATTTCTTCCCCCCCCCCCCCGCAGGCTTTCCGAATGTTGGCAAGTCGTCGGTTATTAACAGCCTGGTGGCAAGGAAGGTGGTGAGCGTGTCCCGGACCCCAGGCCACACCAAATACTTCCAGACGTACTACCTCACCCCCACAGTGAAGCTCTGCGACTGTCCCGGACTGGTTTTCCCCTCCATTGTGGATAAACAGTTGCAGGTACAACCTCACTTTTGTGTATTTGAAACCAAATGATAGATGGATGGATAGATTGATAGATTGATGGGTGGGTGGGTGGGTGGATAGGTAGGTAGGTGGGTGGGTAGGTACTTTCTTGATCCCAATTTGGGAAATGTTTGCGTTGCAGCAGCATAAAAAACAAGGCAATGTACATAAGAGAAATTAAGACACAAGAAATAAACAGTCCAAAAATATTTCTGAAATAAAAATAAAATAGCGTTAAAAAGTAGGGGCAGGGCAGGATCGTAACATTTCCGTCAAAATCCATTATTACCCGTCGGTCGGCCTGTACACAACTCTGCCGGGGGGGGGGGGGGGGGGGGGGGGGTGGAGAGAGCACGCTCGTGAACTGTCAACAGGGGACTGTTAGCGCCGTGTTATGCATGTCCACTGCACCTCTATGATTTCCTTTTGGGCGGGCATGCATAACACGGCATAACACCGGAGCCTCGCTGTGGGGAAACTGTGACGCTGTTCTGAGTTTGTTCTAATCCGTTAAAATGACGGACGGCTTTCAGATTTTTCCGTCATTGTTAAAAAAAATCCGTCATAGACGGAAAGTATTTGGTTAACGCGACCTCTGAGTGGGAGTTTACTTTAAAGTTTTGGGCTTAAAAGAAACGTAATCCTGTTAAAGAGCACACTCACCCCTGGGAAAATGTATTATTGATTTCATACATTTCTTGTTATCTTTCAAATGCTCACTTCTTTTTGAAACTATCTTTATGGCAGTTTCAAGAGTTTTGGAGCACTTTGATTTGTCTTATTGATCTTTCTCCTTCTTGTTGTTTATTTTCTGTAGATTCTGGCGGGTATCTACCCAGTGTCTCAGCTGCAGGAGCCCTACAGCTCAGTGGGTTATCTGTGTGAAAGGACTCCCACCTACTCGGTGCTGAAGCTCAAACATCCCAGTCTGGTGGACAGCAAACCCCACCTTGGAATCCAAGGGTCCGAGGACATGAACTGGACCGCCTGGGATGTGTGTGAGGGTAAGTCGTGTCGTATTTGTTGACGTTTCTAAGAGTTTGTGATTCATATGTGCACAGTTACACGCCTCCTTCACCACTGCCTCAATCCATTACAAATATTGAGAGGCATTATCAAAACAAGAGCAGAATCATTACCATTTACACCTAAAAAAGACTTTTCCTTTAATTAGGGCGAGTCACTGTCGGTGGGACTCGGATACCTCTTAGCAAAAACACTCATGATTGATATTTAGGATACAAAATGGTGGAACAAGCTCCCTCTTGATATCAGGACAGCAGAACGTGGAACATATCTATATGTTCTGTACGTACCACTTAGAAAGGTTTGGCATTACATTAGTCAAAGTCAACTTTATTGTCAATCTTTCAGTTTGTGTGTACAGACAGACGGATCGAAAAACCGTTTCCCACAATCCCGAATACATAAATACAAATATATATATAAAAATATTTATACAAACAATATATATATACAATCAACAGACACATGCACACATTAAGACATAAATAAAAGCACAACAATCTGAAATGTTATGAATATCCAGATGGTTTTTCTACTGTCACTAATCCCTATCATGTGTCCCCCTTCCATCTGCTTTTGTATTTCCCAGCGTGGGCAGAGAGGAGAGGCTATAAAACGGCCAAAGCTGCTCGCCTGGATGTTTATCGAGCAGCAAACAGCCTCCTGCGGTTAGCGATCGACGGCAGGTTGTGTCTCTGCCTGAGACCTCCGGGCTACAGCTGCCTGAGGGGTAAACATACAAAAGCTCTCGCATGACTCATCTTTTCAGCTTCGTTTGGAAAAATATCACTCGTCACCGGCTCGAGCTTCAATCTCAGGATCCATGTATTTCTGATCCTCTCCAGATGGAAGTAGTCATCACATACAGAGCATCAACTAGTTCCTGGACAGTGTCCTTCACATGCTGATATACAAGTCATACATCCTGCCATGTACAAAATACTGAGTTTTTTTCTCAAAATATTGCCTTTTTTCTGAAAATCTGAAAATCTAGAATTTCTCAAAATTCTGACTTTTTCTCAAAATCTAAAAATTCTGACATTTTTCTCAATTCTGACTTTCTCTCAAAATTCGGACTTTCTCTCAAAATTCTGACTTTTCTCAAAATCTCAAAATGTTAATAATCACTGGTCCCTAGGGCTGTCCCGAATACCATTTTTCGGGCTCCGGATATTCGGTAGTAATCAGCAGCAAATATTCGAATATTCGGTGCGGAGAGATTTTTTATTTTTTTTTAAATGTCATAACACGCTCCGAGACACCTGACAACACGCTGTTAAGCAGAAGCGCAGAAAGAGCATACTATTACGATTTATATTTATGTATTGTCTCAGTACTCGCATACATTAAAACTAAATGTGTCCTCTGCATGTAACCCAGCCGCAGCGCAGCGCCCGGGGACCAAATCCGGTTCCAAATTCCGTCTATAACGTTTTACAACCTGAAGATACAAAACACATATTTCTGTTATAACAACAATACTTTTAATAACATAGCCGTAACAGTCGGCCTAACAGGGTAACACTTGTTACCGATACAGTAAACAGTATTTAAATAAATGAAGAATGAAAAATAAATGAACGAACTGTATGCCAGTAATTGCCTTAGCCCCAGATGTTCCACATTGCTCCTATTATTTTCACTATTCGGATCAAATTGAAAAACTAATATAAAAAACTATTCGCTTGCTTGCAACTATTGTCCAAGCAAAGTAAGAGCACGATTTTACCATGTGTAACGTTACGGTTTAAACGGCGGATAAAGCAGCTTCATCATGGCAACTTGCCAACAGCTAAGCTAAGCTAGGCTAGTACTTACAGCATCCGGTGACTTTTCAGAGTTGTTGTGCCACCGGCCAGTTTCTCGTCACATATTTGGCACACTGCCTTCTTCTTACCGTCGTCCAATTTAAAATGGTCCCACGCAGCTGAAGTCTTCGGCATTTTGTGTTCAGGTGTGTGAAGCGAGGTGAAGCGTGCCGTTTGCGTTCGTGACTGTGAGTGAACGCGATGTCAGGAGCACAGCTGAGATTGTATAGATTTCCGCATTTTAACAGTGCAATTCAAAAGTATAAATATAGTATAAGAATATGGCAATTCGCCTTTATTGATAGCATACATTTAGAAAAAACAATTAAATAAATTGAAACATTTTTTAAAAACGAATATCCGAATAATAAAATTGAAACCCGAATAGTTGGCCAACGAACGAATATTCGAATATTCGGGTACAGCCCTACTGGTCCCCGGCTTGAGCTTCAATCTCACGATCCATGTATTTCTGATCCTCTCCAGAATGGAAGGAGTCATCACATACAGAGCATCAACTAGTTCCTGAACAGTGTCCTTCACATGCTGATATCCAAGAGAGGGAGTTACACAGTCACAAGATGGAGGAATAGAAAGCAGTCTTCAATGTTTACTTCAGATTAGCTCCACGTCAGAAATGAGCATGCTTGATGTCTCTCTCCATAGAGGCTGAAGCATAATGTTAATCACATAGCTATCATATGCCTCAAACAGTCCTGATGCTCTTCTAGGTAATCACACATCCTGTCATGTTCACAGCTGCAGTTGAGATACCTTTGTTATCATGTGGACTCTGATATATTCAGTATAGTGTGTTTGGAAGGTGAAAACAGCAGGTGGGTGGAATTAATATTTTGGTCATTTGTGGTCCACAGAGCACTGGGAGAGCCACCCAGACCTGCCGGAGATCATCGCTCTGCAGGGGAGGACCACCACGAAGGAGGAGGGAATGGGCGAGAGAGATGACGAAGAGGACGGAGAGTCCAGCACGGAGCCGGAGGACGAGAGGGACCGGGACGCCGACGACGATGAGGACGGGGATGATGAAGACGAGGGGTTTGCACATCCAAAACCCAAGGAAGAAAAGCCATCTGGCTTCACTGTCAACATGTTCAATGTCCTGCGGGAAAACGAGTGCGAGTGATGAGCAAAAAGACAGAAGTGGTTCCTTTTCCCCGTTGTGTATTTTTCCCTCCTCCTAAATCTGCATTCCCCTCTTTTTTGTTTTGCAGCTCCTCTCCTCATGTCATCCTTCTCTGTACAATAACATGATCTAATCGGATGAGTTCCTTCCTGTAATACACAGAGCATATTCATGTGTTCATGCTGTGCCTCTGCTCTGCTTCTTCATCCACAAATCCACACATGTTCCTTCGTGTTGCTTCTAGGGTTTGGTTTGATATTTCCCTTTTGTTTCTTGCATGTAGTTCTCAGAAGCCTAAATGAACAAAGTCATTTCCCCTCGGTCTGGAATAATCAATCAAACTGGTTTTCAATCTCCTCATCGATAAGTGACTTTGCAGCTGAGATGCCAAAGTTCAGCAAAAGGATGATAAAACAAAATGTCGATATGATGTCATTCACTGGAGCAGCTGGAGATTTAAGAGCTCGGCTGTAAATCTCCTTTATGGACCGTAGTTCGTCAAAACGTTGGTTAAAGGGCGTGGGGACGCGAGATATGGGGCCATAAAAGTGGAATGACTAAAACCAACATTTTACATACAGTTACCAGTGTGATGGTTCCGTTAGAAGTTTATTTTTCTGAACTAGGGTTAGAAAATGCTGAATCTGCGAGTGATATTTTATTTGGTGTGGTTTCACACAGTCAGCAGGAAACAAAGAAAATGTTTTGGGGTTTGGGGGGGGGGGGGATCCTGTACTGCTGGACGAGGCTGTTTCAGGAATTTAGCTTGTAGTGTTTTAACTACTACAAACATTATCCTTAGATGGAGATCTACAGAGTTAAGTGTGGGATTTTGTCTACACTTCTTCAGCAAGTTAATTTAATTATAGCAGTACAGTGGGTCGGATCCAACGGAGAGAAGCTCAACAGTGTCACAGGAACCGGTCGACACGCAAATATTCACGTACTTTCTGAGAGTCAGACGAGAAGATGAATGCCACTCTTGTATCTTGAGTTTGAGACGTAAAAAGACTGGGTTGGATGATTGGGAAAAAAATATGGAATTGTTTTTATTTGGACTGATTTTGCAATTTCTATATGATTCCCGATATTGGAGAGGATGATAATTTTTACATCTGTATTCTCATTTAATTAAAAAAAAAAAATGGTCATAGGGGTTATTTGAATGAACAAAGAAATAGTTTGGGGACATTTTTGGGGATTTAACAAATATCTTTCCCGTCCATTTTGTGGTTTTGATCACATTTTGATTCATTATTCACCCCTACAAAATAAAATCCCTACTAATGTCTTAATTATCTTGTTTTTTTAAGCCGTACATAAACCAAAGTGAAATGTGGCCAAGAAAAAGTCCTGGAAACAGGAATGTTGTTTCTTTGTATGGATTAAAGAAACAAGACCTCATGCGTTAATAAGTCTGTTTGGTTGCTTACATATTGACCGTGCTGATTTAAGAGTTGTATGGATCTTCTCACCTAACTCTACGAAAGCAGAAACAAAACAGAAAGCCAGTCCGACCATCTTAGCTTCCACCTGTCCGTCATTGTAAATATCACACTCTCCATCTGTTTTATGAACTATAATTATGACGCCGTGATCAATTTCAAAGTCCGATCTTTTAAAGCTGCTGCAGACAATTCTCAATGTCCATCAACGCCATGTTTTCATCTTGTTTTGTTTTCGTCTCCGTCTCTTACTCCCGTGTGATAACCCCGCTACAATCCTGAGTGCTGTATGATACCGTGCTGTGGTTCCTCTCCATGCTTTCACTGAGGGGGCTCTTCAGCACCGTGCTGTGTTACTGTGTAATGCATCACACTGCAGCAGTCATTTTACCTTTGGTACAATGTCAAGCAGATACTCCGCACTACCACGCTGATCCAGAGAGACAGCAGACTGGTTTTGATGTGAATTAGTTTTTTTGTTGAAACATTAAAACTGAAAGAGTCTAGAGAGAGTAGTGTGAAGGCTTGAGGTGATTTCAGGCTGTTTGCTGCATTCCTCATTTCATTCCTGATGACTGCTTTCTGCAATAAATGAAGTATTCCTCTACGCCGTCTGTGTCTTTGTATTTGAAGACATCTTTTAAGATATTTCCTCATGAATTCTGTCAGATAATGCGGTAGATCTTTAAATATGTTAGCGAAATATCTTTTAATGACAAACCCTTTCTTCATTTATTGAGTTATTTAAAAAGAACGACACTAAATATGACAACTCAAAAGCGGAGGTGGGAGAAGTACTCAGATCTTGTACTTGAGTAAAAGTAGAAGTACTCAGATCTTGCACTTGAGTAAAAGTAGAAGTACTCAGATCTTGTACTTGAGTAAAAGTATAAGTACTCAGATCTTGCACTTGAGTAAAAGTAGAAGTACTCAGATCTTGCACTTGAGTAAAAGTAGAAGTACTCAGATCTTGTACTTGAGTAAAAGTAGAAGTACTCAGATCTTGCACTTGAGTAAAAGTAGAAGTACTCAGATCTTGTACTTGAGTAGAAGTACTCAGATCTTGTACTTGAGTAAAAGTAGAAGAACTCAGATCTTGTACTTGAGTAGAAGTACTCAGATCTTGCACTTGAGTAAAAGTAGAAGAACTCAGATCTTGTACTTGAGTAGAAGTACTCAGATCTTGCACTTGAGTAAAAGTAGAAGTACTCTGATCTTGCACTTGAGTAAAAGTAGAAGTACTCAGATCTTGTACTTGAGTAAAAGTAGAAGTACTCAGATCTTGCACTTGAGTAAAAGTAGAAGTACTCAGATCTTGTACTTGAGTAAAAGCAGAAGTACTCTGATCTTGTACTTAGTAAAAGTAGAAGTACTCAGATCTTGTACTTGAGTAAAAGTAGAAGTACTCAGATCTTGCACTTGAGTAAAAGTAGAAGTACTCAGATCTTGTACTTGAGTAAAAGCAGAAGTACTCTGATCTTGTACTTAGTAAAAGTAGAAGTACTCAGATCTTGCACTTGAGTAAAAGTAGAAGTACTCAGATCTTGTACTTGAGTAAAAGTAGAAGTACTCAGATCTTGTACTTGAGTAAAAGTAGAAGTACTCAGATCTTGCACTTGAGTAAAGTAGAAGTACTCAGATCTTGTACTTGAGTAAAAGTAGAAGTACTCAGATCTTGTACTTGAGTAAAAGCAGAAGTACTCTGATCTTGTACTTGAGTAAAAGTAGAAGTACTCTGATCTTGTACTTGAGTAAAAGTAGAAGTACTCAGATCTTGCACTTGAGTAAAAGTAGAAGTACTCAGATCTTGTACTTAGTCAAAGTAGAAGTACTCAGATCTTGTACTTGAGTAAAAGTAGAAGTACTCAGATCTTGTACTTGAGTAAAAGCAGAAGTACTCAGATCTTGTACTTGAGTAAAAGTAGAAGTACTCAGATCTTGCACTTGAGTAAAAGTAGAAGTACTCAGATCTTGTACTTAGTAAAAGTAGAAGTACTCAGATCTTGTACTTAGTAAAAGTAGAAGTACTCAGATCTTGCACTTGAGTAAAAGTAGAAGTACTCAGATCTTGTACTTGAGTAAAAGTAGAAGTACTCAGATCTTGCACTTGAGTAAAAGTAGAAGTACTCAGATCTTGTACTTAGTAAAAGTAGAAGTACTCAGATCTTGTACTTGAGTAAAAGTAGAAGTACTCAGATCTTGTACTTGAGTAAAAGCAGAAGTACTCAGATCTTGTACTTGAGTAAAAGTATAAGTACTCAGATCTTGTACTTGAGTAAAAGCAGAAGTACTCAGATATTGTACTTGAGTAAAAGTAGAAGTACTCAGATCTTGTACTTGAGTAAAAGTAGAAGTACTCAGATCTTGTACTTGAGTAAAAGTAGAAGTACTCAGATCTTGTACTTGAGTAAAAGCAGAAGTACTCAGATATTGTACTTGAGTAAAAGTAGAAGTACTCAGATCTTGTACTTGAGTAAAAGCAGAAGTACTCAGATCTTGTACTTGAGTAAAAGTATAAGTACTCAGATCTTGTACTTGAGTAAAAGCAGAAGTACTCTGATCTTGTACTTGAGTAAAAGTAGAAGTACTCAGATCTTGTACTTGAGTAAAAGTAGAAGTACTCAGATCTTGTACTTGAGTAAAAGTAGAAGTACTCAGATCTTGTACTTGAGTAAAAGCAGAAGTACTCAGATATTGTACTTGAGTAAAAGTAGAAGTACTCAGATCTTGTACTTGAGTAAAAGTAGAAGTACTCAGATCTTGTACTTGAGTAAAAGTAGAAGTACTCAGATCTTGTACTTGAGTAAAAGCAGAAGTACTCAGATCTTGTACTTGAGTAAAAGTAGAAGTACTCAGATCTTGTACTTGAGTAAAAGTAGAAGCACCAGAGTGTAGGAATACTCTGTTACAAGTACAAGTCCTGCATTCAAAATGTTCCTCAAGTAAAAGTACAAGTATTCTCATCAAAATATAGTGAAAGTAGCGACAGTAAAAGTAGTCGTTGTGCAGATTGGTTCATTTCAGAATAATATACATGATGTGTTTTATAATGATTGATCATGAAAGTGTTCTCAAAGCTGGTAAAGGTGCAGCTAGTTTGAAGGACTTTGTATACTGCAGGGTAGCTTGTGGATTCACTCCAGGTGGAACTAAAGTCTGATTTAACACTTGATTATAATTCACATCATTCATCCACATCTGCAAAGTAACTAAAGGTATTAAATACATGTAGTGGAGTAAAAGTACACGATTAAACCTCTGAAATGTAGTGGAGAAGAAGTTCAAACTAGCAAACAATAGAAATACTCAAGTAAAGTACAAGTATCTCAAAATGGTATTGTGTAATGTACTTAGTTACTTCCCACCTCTGATCAAATGTGAACAATTTAACTGGCAACATGACATTGTCGACGTTCCCTGTAAATGTTTTGACTAAATGTGAGAGATTGCGATCAAAGTGCACGGCTTGTTTTGAGGACCTTTGTCAGACTCACTGCAGTTTTCCTGAATGCCGATCAGACAGTAATGAATGTATTCTCATGGAGATGTTAGTGCTGTCTTGTAATTAGTAAAGAGACTTCCTTTCTCTAAAGACAGATCATTACTGCGATGAGATCCGCTGAAGATACGGCAACATACTGAGACCTTATTAAAGCCTTTTTTTCTTTGGTACATTTCCAGTTGGGTGATATTTTAACCAGATATCTAGATATACATTCAAATGTACCCACACAAAATCCTCATAACTTATTTAATTAGAAAGCTTACATGTTCATTATTATACTCTTTTTCAACATAATATTATAGCTCTGATACAACATGTCTGAAGTGTTGGCTCGAACAACAGATCATTGCATGCCATTCATTTACTTAATTAATAATGCCGTATTAATGAAGTATATGAACTGAGTACTTCATCCACTACTGGCCAGTGTGCATCATGTTGAAAATGGTTATTTCAAATGATCAAATGTTTTATAAGACGAGTAACCAGGAGAAAAAGATGCTGCAGTCACAGTGGGACAAAAACGAGATTGCTTTCATTCAAAATGTTTGTTTATCAAAGCACTTACAATTTCCATTTGATGGATTATCAAATGGAAATTGGGGATTAGAGGAAGAAATTTGCTCAAACAATAAAAAAAACGTTAAGCATTGTCCACTGCACTGCTACTCCCTGAAACATATGGAATCAATTATCACCTCGTCCAACTAATAGAAGGATTTCCATCGTCATGTGTTAAAAATGTGAAACATACCCCTGTGATTTACGTCTCGTGTGAGTAGTCTGCATATAAAGCCGCTATATGGAATGACTGTTTTGACAGCGTGTGTCAAGTTCTTCACACTCCTGACGCCTCTCCAATCCTCCTGTCAGAGTCAATCTGGCTGCAGCTATTATCCAATTATGTTTATCGTGACCCAATGGGCACCGTGCATGAGTGAGTGTGATGATAATCACCACTGAGGATTGCCACAATCATTATTTACGGGATGGAAGTGGTTGGAAATCCCCCGCTTTATCTTGCATCATTTGGATTCAATGCCAACTTGTATACTCCCGGATGCCTTTTGCTGACTAGATAAACTCCGAGGGGGGAAGAGAGGAATCATCTGGAATGATTTCCCTTTTTGTTTTGCAGCCGGAGTCATGAGCTGCTTAATTTCCCCAGCTAGAGCTCGACCTATATGTTGTGGCCCTCAAACCTGCATGGCAGTAATTACAGCGAGACAAAGACCCCAGATTTATTGGAGCACGACACCATACATCTCAGAAGTGTTAATTAAAATCTGCTGTGTTAAATGTATGAACTGCCAGCAGTGGTCATGCCTAACATGCCCATGTGGTTCCAGTGTTTTATTTTCCTTCTTGGGGAAGCTTTCACATGACGCAACCAGGTTGTTGTGGGGTCTCTGACACCCCCACACACACACACACACTCTTATTTGCCCTGCTTTTGCTCCGTATTTGACCCCGGCTAACATTTGGGCGAGACCAAAGTGTAATGAAATGGCTTCATAAGAGAGTCTGAGCATAAGCAGAGCAGACTAAATCATTACTCTGCTTTATTAGGATCCCCTGGGCGCTTCACACACACACACACACACACACACACACACACACACACACACACACACACACACACACACACACACACACACACACACACACACACACACACACGACGTATGGGAGTGTGTGGGAATTTGTAGAAAACATCATTGTCAAGAGCAATAACAGCCTCTGGTGTGTTGGTGTTTCCTTTAAAGAGAAAACACCACAATGAAACGTCCCAGCTGGCTTTTCAAAAACAACCAAACTGCAGAAAGTCTCATTATAATAAGTTACAGTTCCACTTTTCAGCTGGCAGCTACACCTCTGTGGTCACTAGAGGGCTATCAAAGCCAGCCTCTCTGTGCTGCAGTTAATAGTCAGGTGCACCCAGCTGATTGAGTTATTCAAATGAATGTGCAGTACGTGTTACCTGATAGCACCTTCATTTTTATCACCATCAGTAAAGGTGGGTCACAGATGATCCAGAGGGTCAGCAGAGGATGAAGTATTCAGATGTTTTACTCCAGGGAAAGTAATAGCAGTGTAATCAG